CAAGACTTCTATAGATTTCATGAGTTTCTTAAGAGTTTTCTAGATTTNTGTGGGAATTTATGACAAATTTATACAAATTGATTTGAACATGAAGCAATGTGAGTTTTTATTTTTACATTTGTTTGTTTATCTTTTTGTACAAATATTAAGCCAACTACCCTATGAATATTAAAAGTAATGAATATAAGAAAAAATACAACATAGAATTGGGGCAACCGTTAAAAATTTTCCCAGGACTATATCCATTAGACTATATTAATCAGAAAACAATCCAAACTAATGGCCATAAAAAAATTTATGAAAATAAGTAATTAAAAATTCCTTCAATCCAAAGAAACAATTGCGGAACAAATCTAATTTTAAGATCATAAAATTTACTCATCAATAGAAAAGATGTTTGTACTAGAGAAACAAAACAATGGTATTCTCCTACGATACAAAATATGGACAAAGAAAGAAGAATAGACGAGGAAGATGAATAATTCTTCAAGTTGGAAACGGGTTTTTAAAAATCTATTTTAATTATCAATTGTAAATAAATTTGGTTCTAGCGTAATTTTTTTTCTTTATTTTTCCGTCTTTGTCAGACATATACATATCCATTTTAGTGCAATTTTGTTTTCAACAATATTTTTTAATGATCACACAATTATGTGTTTGAGAATCTATATCTATATAATTGTTGGCAAGACATTTAATAAATTTCACTTCATTTTCGGTTACAAAATTATGTCATTAACATTTTTTTTACTTTTCACATTAGTACACCCTATTAAGTGTAATCATATATTTTTTGATATTATAATATATAATAGTTAATGTTAATGCCAACTAATAATAATTCATACTAAATACGAATTACGTAAGTATAAACAATTCTTTTGTATTTTTTTTCTTCAAGCTCATTTATATTAAAATTATTATTATTATTATTATTATTATCATTATTATTATTACTATTATTATTATCTCATGAAATAATTTCTTTTAAAAAAATAGCCAAATAGTTTTAATAGCATAGTCAAACCACTTCAAAATCTTATAAATAATAATAATAATTTGACCATGATCCCTCCAAATTATAAAAATTATATTACCCACAAACTTTTTTCAATCAATATAGTGATTCATATATACGTAAAATTTATACTTATATTATATTATTTTTACTAATGATCAAATTTTAAAAATGTGATATTACATTATCTAGAATTTTTAATATTATATTCGCACATATTATTTATAATATTGTATGTATATATGAGCATGTGCACAGGATGATTAATTACTAGTCAGATAAAACATGTATATGTTTTTTATGTGTTTAGCATTTTTTTATATATATAATTATGTGATGTCAAGAAGAAGAAGAAGAAGAAGAAGAGAAGATGATATTGGACCTTGTAAAATCTCTTCACAATCCCACCTCTAGAAGTAAGATTTGGTACATATATTTTTTCCTTAAAATCCTAGCAAACCCAAATAAATGCAAATTTCAAAAAATTTAAAAGGATATGAATACCTTGTTATTTTGTGGGACTTTAAAAAATCTCAATTAAATACCTCTAGATTTGTAAGACTTTTAAAAAGTCATCAGAAATTCTATTTAAATACCTCTAGACTTTTCAAAATTTTAAAAAGTCTCAATTAAATACACCAAGATTTCACAAATCCTAAAAAGTCTTTAAAAGTTCTTAAAAGTCTTAAAAGAATACAACTTATTTGAGACTAGCATTTGTTAAGATTTTTTAAAATTTGCTGGGATTTCTAAAGAAAAAACCATATTCGAAATCCCACGGAAAATCCCACCTCCATACTTAAGATTTAACAAGATTTCTCCCAAATATGAAAATCTTAAAAAGTCCCAAATCTCAAAATGTCACTCAAAATTCCATACGAATATACCATTCGTAGATTGTGAGACCTAATTAAAAACAAAGTATAATAACATTTCTATTGTTTTCCTTGAATAGAGTTGAGTATGGGCCGAGACGGTTCGAAAATCCAAAACTATTCAGAACCGTCTCGAAATTGGGAGATCTTCAAAATTGGATCTCCGAAACCGAATCGATGTGAAGAAATCTCCATCTAGAATTGTCTTGATTTTTAATTCGGTTCGGTTCGGAGGTTCTGGTCAACCGGGATGGTTCAGTATGAACCGAAGATTTCATATTTTTTTTTCTTGTAAAATTAAACTCACTTCCAAACAATTAGTATATTATTGTCATATATTGTTAAATTTATGCAAATGCTAAAATAATTATGTTGAAAAGAAAACATAATATAAAATATTATATGTATATAGATTTACAAATAAAGAGAATAATATTACTAAATATTACAATTTCATGAAGCTTTTGAACTATATTATTGAAATACATTTTTAAGTTTATGGAAATGCTAAAGTAAATATATACAGAAAAAAAAAGCATAAGATAACATATTATATGCATGTAAATTTATGACAAATAAATAATAATATTATTAAATATGAGATTTTTCGTGAATCTTTAACTATGTTATTGTCACATATTATTAAATTTATACGTATACTAGAATAATTACGCACAAATGAAAGCATGAGATAAAATTTGTACACATATAAACTTTTGAATAAAGAAGAGTACTATTATTGAATATGAGATTTTCATGAAACATTAACTATATTATGGGTATACGTTTTTGAATTTATGCAGATACTAAAATAATTATGTTAAAAAAAAAAACCATAAGATAACACATTATATGCACATAAATTTATGGAAAAACTATTAGTACTATTAAATATGTGATTTTCATGACACTTTAACTATGTTATTGTCGTATACAGTAAATATATTACATATATTAAAATAATTATCTACAACAGAAAACATAAGATCAATATTCTATACGTATAATTTTTGACTTAAGAAGATTAATATTATTCAATATGAGATTTTCATGAAAGGTTAACTATATTATTAACATACACTGTTAAATTTATGCAAATGCTAAAATAATTACGTACAAAAGAATGCATAAAATAAAATGTTATACACATATAAAGTTATGAATGTTTTGGAAATGGTTCTTTGTTTTGGTTTTTCGGTTCAATTATCGGTACGAGATATTATGATATGGATATCCATAATCATACTAAAAAAAAATCGAGATATTATAATATGGATATCCATAATCATACTAAAAAAAAATCGATCCACTTCAGTTAGGAGATACCAGTGAATGGATATTTTTTGATTCGGAATAAATTCGGTTTGATTTTTAAAACAGTTCGGTAATTTCCAAGTCCCGTGCTCAGTCCTACTCGATATAGATATAAATAGATATATGGTTGCAATCCATGAAAAGCTAGGAGTTGAGAGAAGTACATCCAGCTAAGACAGCTTGTACCCATTTCGAGAAGAAGAAAATGAAATCATTCTCTTAACTCAATTTGGGTGATGAAAGGAACAACGAATATATCCACTTATGAGCTTTCAATGTCAAGCTGTAATATGTTGGACCACTACAAAATTGTCCATCAAAGTATAATTTAAATTAAAGCAGCACAAGCTACATGCTTTAGAATGTTCCAAGCTGCATGTGCTTTTTTGTCTTTGATTACTAAAAAACAAATAAAGTGGATAAAGAAAAAGATGGTCTTCCTGATTAAATGAGAAGAATAAAAAACAATTTATATTTTAAATCAAAAGAGAAAGAGACACTTGAATNAAAAAAAAAAAAAAAAAAATCAAAGAAAAATCAAACACTGGCAAAAGAAGGTTATATAGATAGAATACAGATTTAGCACAAGAAACTAAGACTGGTATTTTTATGGTGCATAGGAAATGGAGCTTGGAATTCTAAAGTGAGATCTCAACCAAAATGGCATAAAGCTGATGTTTGGTTTTTTAAAGGAAGTTTGTCTATTCTTTTGCACATTAGTATGCTTTATGACTAGCTACAGATTTTGTATTTTGGCTGCTCACATAATAATTACTCGTAAACTTTGTTTAATTCTTAAGCACTAAGGAAGAAAGGTGTATACAGAACAAAATGACTGGTAAAATGAAATGATTACACCATTAAATAAAATCATTAGAGGTTAGATTTGTAAAATAATATAAGTGTAGCATTGTACGGTGGACTAAAATCACGATGATTTTGTATAATCTAATAAGAAAATTTAAAGGTGAATATGGAAAAGATGAGAACAAGTAGGTTTATATAGATATAGTCTCGCTCTCTAACAAACGCATCATTTTCTGTCAATCAGATATGAAAAAATGGACTCAATTACAATGTGTTTAAAACATAATTTTATTGTGAAAAATCTGATAGCAGACATATTTAAGATACATCAAATTCACAGGAAAAGTTGGAATCAACTAGCTGAACCAATATCCAAATTCCAATGCCACGTAAGCACAGACTGGATTACGTGGCAAAGGAGTCAAGGCTGACTGGACCGGTCCTTTGTTCAAAGGAGACAAAAGCAGAGCAAATGATAGAGAGATGTAGGGAAAAAGGATGCTTAACTTCTCGAGTATGGTGTTCTAATCTCACCTTTATCATACTTTATTCAACTATGAGATTCTTTTTTTTCTACTTGAATTTTTCCCTAGAAATGGAAAAGATATATATGCTAGAAAAAAAACAGAATTAAATTGTTTGGTTTTTGCAGATTTATGATTAGTGATGAATCTGAATAATTTTATTTGGATTCTGGGCCCTCATTGCTTTTAACCTTTAAATTCCTCTCCAAAATTTCTACTATAAGAGCTATTGTTTCCAAATGGAACATGAAAAAACAAAAGAATAAGTATACTCCTCCATTCTCTTTTTCTTTACCTCTTCAAATCAAACACACAAGACACAACACAATCTAAGCCTTACATTAGTTTACAAATCAAGAAACCATGTTTATGAGCCGAAAATCTCTTGTTATACTAATTTTTGTAGCCTTATTAGCATTACATTGGCAACAAGTTGACGGTTCAAGAAGTTTGATTCGTTTTATGACACGAAGCCTGCAAGAACATGAGTTAAGGGCAAACGAAACCAACGACTTGAATGTTGATGAAGACAAAAGACCAACAAATGTGCACAAGACGTTAGACCCGAATCAAGGTAGCAAGAGAAAGGTACGTAGAGGATCGGATCCTATCCACAACAGGACATAACAGAGAAAAAGGGCGGGAAAGAAAAAGAAAAAGATAAGGAAGGAACATTGAGAAAAATCACTAGAACCGAGTTTGAAGCCAAGAAACAACTTGGTAAGGTTTTTTATGTGGACAATTATATATGTGTATATAGCTTAGATTCAAAGGTGAGAAGAGGGCCTTTGGATGCAGCCTCAAAGAAAAAATACATATAATCATGTCAAAGGTGGAAGATAGCAGAATTTAGGCAGGCTTGTGAAGATGGAATTAAATTGCATGGTTTTGTCACCACTGCATATTCATTATTTGTTGGTTTTCACATACGAATGTAATGACACTTT